TAGCAGGTCCCAGGATGAGGAGGTTGGAGATGGGACCACATCAGTAATTATTCTTGCAGGAGAAATGCTGTCTGTGGCTGAGCACTTTCTAGAGCAGCAGATGCACCCAACAGTGGTGATCAGTGCTTACCACATGACACTGGCTGATATGATGAGCACTCTGAAGAAAATCAATACCCCATTGATGTCAATAACCATGATATAATGCTGAACATCATCAATAGCTCTATTACTGCAAAAGTCTTCATTTGAGGGTCCTCTTTGGCATACAATATAGCCCTGGATGCTGTCAAGACTGCAGTTGGGAGAGAATGTCGTAAAGGAAACTGACATCAAGAAGTATGCAGGAGTGGAAGAAAAGATCCCTGAGGGCATCATTGAAGACTCATGTGTCTTACGTGGAGTCATGATTATCAAGGATGTGACCCATTCACGAATGCACCACTATATCAAGAACCCTAAGATTGTGCTACTGGATTCTTCTCTGGAGTACAAGAAAGGAGAAAGCCATACTGACATTGATTTACACAAGAGGAGTATTTCACCCGAATTCTGCAAATGGAAGAAGAGTACATTCAGCAATTGTGTGAGGACATTGTCCACCCGAAGCCTGGCAATGTCATCTTAGAGAAGGGCATCTCAGATTTAGCTCAGCACCACCTCATGTTGGCCAACGACACAGCCGTTCGCAGAGTATGGATGACACACAATAATCATTGCTAGAGCTTGTGCAGCACAGACAGTAAGCAGATCAGAGGAACTGAGAGGAAAAGATGATGGTACAGGCACAGGCCTATTGGAAATCAAGAAAATTGGAGATGAATACTTCACATTCCTGACTGAGGGCATAGACCCAAAGCCTGCACCATTGTTCTTAGAGGAGCCACCACGGTGATACTGTCAGAAGTAGAAAGCAACCTCTAAGATCCATGCAAGTGTGCCAAAACATTATTCTGGACCCTCAATTGATACTGGGTTGTGGAGCCTCAGAGATGGCTGTGGCCCATGCCTTGACACAAAAATCTAAGGCCATGACTGGTGTGGAACAATGGCCATATAAAGCTGTGGCCCAAGCTTTAGGTTATCTCTCGTACCTTGATCTAGAACTTTGGGGCCAGTGCCATGCATTCACTTACCTCCCTTCGAGCCAAGCACACACAGGAGAATTGTGATTCTTGGGGTAGGAAGGGTGAGACTGGTTCCTCAGGGGACATGAAAGAGCTGGGTATATGGGAGCCGTTGCCTGTGAAGCTACAAATGTACAAAACCACAGTGGAGAGTGCAGTTCTGCCTCTGCAGATTGATGACATCGTCTCTGGCCACAAGAAGAAGGGCTGGCAAAGTAGTTCTCCAGATGCTGGCCAGAAGTGAGTGGTGAGCAAGGTGACTTCAATGTGCAGAAACAGCAATCTCCCCCTTTCCTGAGTCAGAGTTCCAGGAACACTGTGGACATCTTTGTTTGCAAAGGATCAAACTGAGGGGCAGCCCTCAGTCTGTCCCATCTCAGTTTCCAAAATGCACTGACAGGTATACTGTGGTGGTATTGTATTCCCCAAAATATTGTGTATCCTAATAAATTTATCTGGGGTCAGAGAACAGAAAAGCCACAATATTAAACATAGAGGTTAGGCAGTGGTAGCACATGCCTTTAATCCTAGCATTCCAGAGACAGAAATCCCTCTGGATCTCTGTGAGTTCAAGGCCGCATTGGAAACAGCCAGGCATGGTGACTCACGCCTTTAATCCCAGAAAGCAGCCTTTAATCCCAGGGAGTGGTGGTAGAAAGCAGAAAGGTTTATAAGGCATTGAGGACCAGAAACTAGAAGCATTTGGCTGGTTAGCAGCATTTTGGCTGGTTAAGCATTCAGGCTTCTAGCAGCAGTTCAGCTGAGAGCCATTGGGATGAGGACACAGAAGCTTCCAGTCTGAGGAAACAGGACCAGCTGAGGAATCGGCAAGGTGAGATAGCTGTGGCTTGTTCTGTCTCTCTGATCTACCAGCATTGACCCCAATAACTGGCCTCGGGTTTGATTTTATTAATAAGAACTTTTAAGATTCCTGCTACAGTATACCTTCTCTATTGTAACCTTTCCATTTAGTTTGCTTCCAATGATTAAATCTAAGACATTTGATAGAAGAAAACAAAAACAAAAACAAAAGGAAAAGCAAAAATATAAGCATAGCACAAAATATTTAGAAATAGTGTAATGTTGGAGCAAAATTACTCTGTTTTTTTTAAGTCAAGTTATTATTGTATATCCCAGGTGGCCTTGAATTAAAAAACTTACTACTTCAGCAGCCCAATCCCTAGGACTCTAGGATTAAAGGTGTGAGCTACCACACCCAGCTAAGCAGGAACTCAGGAAACCTTACTGTGGAGGTTTGCTTGTGAACATTGGCCACAAAGTTAATTTAATCTTCTGTCTATTAAGAATAATGCTATTTTCAAGGACTCACCTATTGGTTATTTAAAGCAACCATGGGAGGAAGTGGGTGTGGTCTTTAGAGAGTATATAAGGACACTCCATGGGCCAGACAGCTTCATTCTTCTCTAGACCAGACAGAGTGAGTTTCTATATCTTCTGGTTCCTAGACTGCTACATCTATCTCCTCCACACATTGAGGATCATACCCCAGAGCTGAGCTAATATTGCTGTGTCTCCACAAAACACTGCTGAGGCCAGAGACTATTTCTTGGGTGAGTGGACAATTTACAGATGGAAAGTCATTGGTATTTCCTATTTTTAATTTATTAACAAAATAAAGTTTTTGCTAAAAATGCTTCATATTTTGCTATTTATCAAAAGAGATTCTGCTCCCATTGATCATCTCTCTTTGTAAATATACTGTGAGTTATAGCTATAGATAATTTTAGTTTATCCATATACAGTCTTTCATTGCTCTGATTTTCTCTTTTCAATTTTGATCTTTCTCTAAATTCTAAAAACATTCTTAGAGCATGTCTGATGTACTTCATACATGCAACATGGACATATCTAAATTAAATGTACACATATAATATAGAAAATCCATACTCTGAATGGGTTGAAAATTTCTAGTGTTTAGAGATATATTCTATAAATATTATGTATAAAAGTGAAAACTTACGATTTAGCAAAGAAAAACATTTTAGTATTTTTCTGTCGTAAACTTTTTTTAATTTTTTTTTTTTTCGAGACAGGGTTTCTCTGTGTAGTTTTGTGCCTTTCCTGGAACTCGATTTGGAGACCAGGCAGGCCTCAAACTCAAAGAGATCTGCCTGCCTCTGTCTCCTGAGTTCTGGGATTAAAGGAGTGTGCCACCACTGCCCCACCTTTTGTAAACTTTTTAGAAAGATATAACAGTGTGAAGTAATGTGTGGTCATATTTTATGGTCTTGGAAATACTGGCTATTCCTACTATTGATTGATTTATTAGGTTGGAACTATATATGTGACAATATTCTATTCATGAAAGTAGATTCTAGTTAAAATCAGGTACAATTTTTCAGGTCTCTGTTCAATTTTCATTATCTCTGTGTACTTATTTATTACTTTGGAATTAAGTATCTAATGGACAGAAAAATAAGGGAAGGAGGGCCATCAAGCAAATTAAGGAAGGCAGCATTGCAGTCTCCAACAATGAGTATTAGTATTGTATTGAAGTATACATATACAGAACCACCAGCTAAAGCCATTTGACGCCATTTGCTTCAGACACCAAAAGCTTAAGTTTTTTGGTGCATATTTACCTCAATCAAACCAAGATTCTTCATTTGTGGCGATATTCAAAGAGAAGGGCAACAGGCACCTGTTGATTAGATCGCCAAGTCTCCAGTAGTCATGAGAGCCTCATTTATGCCTCAAGGATTCATCCCTTAAACTCAACCCAGAAGTCTATCCTTGGTAAACAAACAAGGTTCCCCACATAGTACCCTAATATTTGATTCATTGAGATTTTAAGAAACTAATGGAACCTCTGGGGTTGTCTGTGAAGGATTACTTGAGGTAGAATTGCTACACTTGGAAAGATCCACATTAAATTCTCATGAGATCACTTGATCACTCCATGGGTTAAGGTCTCAAGCTGAAGGAAGGAAAAAGAAAACAGGAGCTGAGTAGCAAGTGTTCCTTGTTTTCTTCTTCTTGATTTTGGATGCCGTTAGACCAGCCACCTCAAACTCCTGCCAACACTTCTTCACCACAATGATGGACAATATCCTTGAATTATGAACCAAATTAATTCTTATTCTTTTTTTTTTTTTTTTTTTTTTTTTTTTTTTTTTTTTTTTTTTTTTTTTTTGGTTTTTCGAGACAGGGTTTCTCTGTGTAGCTTTGCGCCTTTCCTGGAACTCGCTTTGGAGACCAGGCTGGCCTCGAACTCACAGAGATCCGCCTGGCTCTGCCTCCCGAGTGCTGGGATTAAAGGCGTGCGCCACCACCGCCCGGCTAATTCTTATTCTTGTTAGGTATTTTCAGCTAAACGAAGACAAGTGACATATGTCGCCTTCAAGTGTCAAGGGGTGGGACAGTGGGACGTGAACGACTAAGATGCCAAAATCAGAAATCAAGCAAAGCATTACTAGGGACCATGTGAAGTAGGAAGTGCTTTCTTGAATAGACAACAAAGAAGCATGTGCTTAACCTACCTATGTCTGTAGTGAAAGGCCAGCAAGTGGACATGAAGGAATTTGATCACTCCACAGTGTATATTTTTTTTCATAAGCTCTGGGGAAGCCTGTCTCAGACCATAAACCAAGGTACTAATTTGGATGGAGTCTCCAGAAAAGATGCAGGTGGTAGGGCTCAGAAGTTCATCAGATCAATCTGTATTTCTGTTAAGAAGAGTGAAACAGGAAAGATCAGCAACTGAAATTCCATATTATATTGATTTTTGGTCTCAAAAAAATGAAGCCTGTTTTGCAATACAGAGATTGAATCACACCTTTAAGCAAATTATGTGCAGTCTCTGGCATCTCTGGGGTCCAATAATAGCAATTTTGCCTTTCTTCTTTCAGAGAAATGGAGTCAGACCTCTCACAAGCCTTCCAAAAAGAACTCACCTGCTTCATGTGCCTGAGCTGCCTGACAGACCCAGTCACCATAACCTGTGGCCACAGCTTCTGTCGAGCCTGCCTCCACCTTTCCTGGGAAGACACTCAGCTTCATGTCCAATGCCCTATGTGTAGGGAACCATCACAGAAGAAGGGCTGGAGAACCAACATTGTTCTGAAGAAGCTGGTGTCCATTGTCAGAAAAACCAGCCTCATGAAGGACCTGAGCTCTGAGGAGCATAAGTGTGTGACTCACAAGGAAGCAAAGAGGATCTTCTGTGCTGAGAACAGGATCTTCCTCTGTCAACTCTGTTCTAACTCTCATGAGCACAGAGGACACAGACACTGTCCCATTGAAGCAGCTGCTGAGGATCAAATGGTAAGTGATGCTTCTGAGAGAACATGCAAGCTGTAGATAGGTAGGCTTAGGAAACCACAGGAAGATGCTGGTCCTCATTATGACAAAGGCACTGTTTTCAGAATGGTGGCACTTTATTAACATCTAATGAAGAAAAGGTGACTAGGAATTTAAATATTCCTTGGGGGAACCAATGAGTGTAAAGATCATTTGTATTTTATGATACATTATGCCCAGGTCTCTGGAAAGTGCAATAATAACTTCGTATCTCTTAAATGTCTCTATGACTGAGGACATAATTTAAAAAAGTACATTGGAGTCATCTACAGACAAATATCTGGAAATCCCAATATTATGCAAATTACCCAGATATTAATTAAAATTATTAACCACTGTATCTCAGTAAAGGGGTATGCTATATTTTCTTTTTTATTTTATGAATTAATTTAATTTTACATATCAGTCACAGATTCCCTTGTCCTCCCAATCCATTCCCCTCCTCCCTTCCCCCCAACCCACCCCCCATTCCCATCTCCTCCAGTGCAAAGACTCCCCTGTGGATTCAGCTCAACCTGGTAGATTCAGTCCAGGCACATCCAGTCCCCTCCTCCCAGGCTGAGTGAAGTGTCCCTGCATAGGTCCCAGGTTCCAAACAGCCAGCTCATGCACTAATGACAGGTCCTGGGCTCATTGCCTGGGTGCCTCCCAAACAGTTCATGCTAATCAACTGTCTCACTTATCCAGAGGGCCTGATACAGATGGAGGCTCCTCAGCTACTGGTTCATAGTTCAGGTGTTTCCATTAGTTTGGCTATTTGTCCCTGTGCTTTTTCCAATCTTGGTCTCAACAATTCTAGCATGTACAAAGCCTCCTCTTTCTCGTCAATTGGACTCCTGGTATGCTATATTTTCTATTAATATGTTCTGAAATCTAAAATTCATAGTTACCAAATGTGAAAAAAATACAGCATTGTAATCCTCCGACTTGCAGTAAAGTAATTGTGTTAATTGCCTGAGAGTCTGTGTCTCAGTACTATTTATCAAAAGTTGACATCATTGTTTTTTAAAGGAAAGAATTCTGAAGCAAATGACATCTTTATGGGAGAAGATCCAAGAAAATCAAGAGAATATAGAAGCAGAGAACAGAATGACAACTCTGTGGATGGTGAGTATGAGAACCATGCTTAAAATCTGGTTGATGTAGATATTTTTCAAAATTTATCAATTGTGAATTGAGTATGAGGCATGGGATATGACAGTTGGAAAACATTTCCTGCTGGCCCTAACCCTGAGTGTTAGTATAACTGTGCATGGAATGAATGGTCTGGCTGTCCAGAAGAGTCTGGGACTAATGAGTGAATTGCTGACAATTCAACACACTGCATGCATTAGATTCTATGACTATACTATGAATTCTAATTACTACAAGAGGAGTTTCATATCTGACTCAACATATGAATGATCAGTCAATACCTTTACTTCAGGCAGTTCTGCACCTCTAATGTAGGTGAAAATGCTTAGTGTCTGTTTGCCTGTGTGATTAATAAAGAATAAATAAATGAAACCAAGGATTTTACATTTTCTGAAATGTGGGGATAGTCAATCAGAGTCTATATAGTTATAAGAGTCATTTGTGAAATTTAAGCATAGGAGAATACAATGGAGGAGGAAAAATACTTTGCAAATGATTGAGAATGTTCCTTTTTCTTCAGGACTACTTGACACTTCGGGAAGAAATGATCAGGACAGAGTATAGGAAACTGCATCCATTCCTCTGTGAAGAGGAAGAGAAACACATTGAGTCTATGAGAAATGAAGGCCAATGTGTTTTAGAGAAACTCAGGACAAGTGAAGCCATGATGATCCAAAAGAGCAAAGAACTAAGGGAAATGTATCAGGAGCTGATGGCAATGTCCCAGGAGCCATATGTGGTCCTGCTTCAGGTGAGCATGGAGGAGTACAGGAAGAGGCTTTATTGTCTTAGGCCCACAATGGTGATTGTTATACTAAGATAGCTTTCAATATTCCCTAGATTTATGTTAGGGGTTTTCCTTTTCAGGAATAATCTTGAAAAAACAAGCTTTTTGAAATTATGTCAGTAGATTCTTCAAGGAATAGGTCCTAACTTTTGGATTTTGTACCTTGCCTCTCTGAGAGCCCAAATTCAGTGGCTGCTGTTTCCAACACTCATTTTCCTCTACTTGGATATTGTGCACAATTTTAAAGATACCTATGGTTCAATTTCTTCTGTTTGAAAACTGTATTTTGAGTGTTATTTGAGAGGTTGGGATTTGAGAAAGTTTCCTACTAGGTGATGCATGATGGCCTGCAACTCACAGTAATCCTCAGGCCTCTAACCCCTCAATTCTTGATTTACAGGTGTGAGGAACAATGCAGGAGTGAGCCCAACCTTTTTGAGTACCCTTAGCTAAAGTACCTCTGGGACTTGTAGACAAGCTCAGGGAAAGTTCCCTTTGCAGACAGGTGGGAGTTCAAAAGCAATGTACAGTCAATACCCATGTCCTCAAATTTGACTCTTCAGTCTGATTTCATCAGAATTCGAATCATGCTAACCTACTTGGTTGGCATCATCCTGAGACATGAATATAAATTTTCAGGCCAGATTGGTGTGATGGTGACTGATATTTGTATGAACTCTATAAACAATATTGTATGCCATTTCTTCAGAAATCTAACTTCTTGTTGTCTTCTTTGCAGGGCTTGGATGACATATTCAGAAGGTGAGTTTTGCCATCAGTGCAAGCCAGGAAACCCTCAAATAAGCTATAAAATTGAACAAGCTGCCTTAGCAAAGTGCAGATAGACTTTATATAGAAAATCCTCAATTGTTTGTGTTTAATATGTTTGGGATTTTTTACTAAATTTGTTATATTTATGTGTGTGTGAATATGTGTGAGTGTGCATGTACATGTGCCATTACACATGTGTGCAGGTCAGAGGACAGCTTTCAGGAGACAGGCTTCTCCTTCCATTATGGGATTAAACTCAAGTTGTCAGGCTTATGTGGGAAGGTGTTTATCCCCTGAGCCATTTGGCTGAACTTGGAAGTGAAGTTTTTCCTAATCACTGTGATGGTATTGTTAGCACCAGGCAGATCAATGTCTTCTTCTCTTGCAGGAGTGAGTCAATGCAGCTGAACATGATTCACACTATGAAACCAAAACTCCAAGCCCTACCCATTACTGGACTGACTGAAAGTTACAAGCACTTGCAAGGTGAGTGTCTCCACTGATAGTGTCCTTCAACAATGAGATAACTTTTTGTAAACACAGATATTTTAACTCCCCTGCATCTGAAATTTTCAAAAAACTTTTCAGCATGCTACCACTCTTTTCTTGTGGAAATTATTGACATTGGTGTATATGAGCCAAGTATACCCTCGAATCTCAGCCTTCTATTTTTAAAATCCATGAAGACTCTATGGACATCTCTCACTCAAGAAATGTAAATGGTCATTTTCCCTAAAATTTTGACTTTTCCCACAGTGCCCATTTTCTTTGATAATGTAACCATACTGCATTACAAGATGAACCTATTTCATGCCATGAGAAGATTGAGCTTCAGGCCTCACCATAAAGATAAATCTGCGGGTTATGCTGGATTCTATTTTGCTTCCTGGGGATCACAGAGCTTCATCTCAAGGAAATATTACTGGGAGATTAAGTTGAAGGACTCTTGGGACTGGGCTGTAGGTGTCTGTAAGGATTCCTGGTTGAGGAATAGAAACCAACTGATTGAATCTGACTGTGCATTTCTTCTTGTGTGTGTGAAGGAGGATAATGATTACAGTCTCCTCACCACATGCCCAGTATTCCAGCAGTATATAGAGAAGCCACTGGGCCGAGTTGGTGTGTTCCTTGATTGTGAGGATGGAAGTTTAAGTTTTATGAATGTTGCCAAGAATTCCCTCATATACAGGTACCCTCCTGGCACCTTCAATTACCCTGTCTGGCCTTTCTTCTCCAGTGGTCATATGTGGGGAACCTGGAATCCAGTATTTTAGTGTTTTTTAAGTGTTTCCTAGTGTAATGTTACCTCCTTTATTGCTATTAAATGTTAAAATAGTATTAAAGGAAAAAATGATAGACTATGTTTTGTTTTATTCTGTGGTCCACATATTCCACAAAGAACCCTTCCTTTCATAGGGATTTTTGTTCGCTTGATTTGCACACTGTGGGATTCCATTTAATGGTGTCAAGCAGGAGCACAGATATGCATTGTGCAGACTAATTTAATGTCAGTTTGACAGAGGCTCCTTTGGTGTTTTGAGACACTGTTTCTTTTTGTAGCTTGGGCTGTTCTCTGCATTCCAGGTGCTGGGATTAAAAGCATATACCACCAACACCTGAAAAAAAACTTCCTTCTTTCTTTCTATCCTTCCTTCCTTCCTTCATTTTTTTTTTTTTTTTGTTATTTGAGACAAGATTTTTGTAGCCTTGACTGTCCTGGACAAGGCTATGGAGGAGACTGATCTTGAACTCGCAGATATCCCCCTGACTCTGAATCCCCAATGCTAGGATTAAAGGCTTGTGCTACCACCACAAAAAAGAAACCACTTTTTTTTTTTTTTTGGTGATGGGTGTAGTTCCAGACAGGGTTTGTCTCTGTAGCCTTGGCTGTCCTAGAATTTGAACTGTAGATCACGCTGGCATAAGAGTCACAGAAATCTGTCTGCTAAGATTAAAGGAGTGCAAATCCACCTCCAGGCCATAATTTTTAAACACTTGAAAGGACAGTTATCAGATTCGTAGAGAAATACAAAAAAAAATCTCGAGGACAACAAAAAATGCAAAAAAAAAAAAAAAAAATGGGAAAGCCAAAACAATTATGAATAATAAAAGAACTGCTAGATATATCACTCCCCCTGTGTTCAAATTGTACTACAGAGCTATAGTAATAAAAATAGTTTGATGTTGTCATAAAGGTAGATGCATTGATCAATGGAAGCAAATTAAGATCTACACATAAATTCATAAATTCACACACTTATGAATACCTGATTTTTTATTTTTAAAGTGGAAAATACAAAATAAAATGAATACAACATCTTTAACAAATGTACCAGGTCAAACTAGATGGCTTCGTGTAGAAGATTCCAACACATCAACCTTTATCACCCTGTACAGATCTCAACTCTAAATAGAACAAAGACCTCAGCAAAATATTTTGAATACGATAGAAGGGAAATGCAGGAATAGCCTTGAACTCACTTGAAACAGGAAAAGATTTTCTTAACAGAGCACCAATAGCACAGGCACTAAGAACAACAATTAATAAATAGGATCTTGTGAAAATGAAAAGCTTTTGTTTGGCATAGGACACCATCATTGGGACAAAGAGTCAGCCTACAGAATAGGAAAAGAGGTTTAACTACTACACAACCAATAAAGGGCTAATATCAAAAATATGTAAAGAACTCAACTGGACGTCAGGCAAACAATTAACCCAGTTAAAAATGGAGTATAGATCTAAACAGAGAATTCCCAAAGGAGGAAACCCACCATCATCTACTTCAGGATGTCTTCATCCTTGTAGCCTCCCTTCCTAATCCTGAGCCCACCAAAGAGAAGGATCAGGGAGCTCCACATAAAGCTTAGTTTATACCCCAGAGGTTTCCTTAAATGAACCAAATCATCCAACTTCTTTTGCTCTGGTATTGTCAAAGGCAGATTCTAAATGGCTTCCATGATCTACTCAACTAGGGTTAAGGCTACCACTTTAGAGGCAGTGAAATTTGCTTAAGGGGTAGTGAAGGGCTCCATCTCCCGGTCCCCTATCAGGTAACACCTGTTACTGTAATGATTATAATTCAAACACCAAAAAGATACTACATAAAAGCCATAGCATGAATGATAGCACAGGTCATCAATAGGATTCCTGCTAACTCAGTTAGGAATAATCCTTATCTGAACCATATTTATACCTAGAAGTCTAAATAAGCTTTACATACAGAAAATCTTACCAGTCTGACAACACAACTTCCCTTACCCAGGATTTAATGGGTAAGTTACATGTAATATTATCATATTTCTCATCATTTTACACACTCCTTAGAAGCTGTCTTAACGAGTATGGTTCCTTGTGATCTCTAAATACTAAACACATCTCCATGTTGACAACTTGTATGTCAAAGAATACTAAACACATTTTTCTGCCTTTACCCTTATTAGTTATTCCTGTCATTGCCTTGATCTCACAGTCCCTGAAACAATTTATGCTTGATTTGGTTTACTATTAAACTGAAAAATACATTAGATTTCAGATCAAGTAAGAAAAGCCTAGTTATGTTTATTTACAAGAGCATAGAAAAGAATCCCTCGGGGATACAGGCAGACACTCACAACTGGACAGAATGTAAATATCAAGAGATCATGGGGATCTGAACCCCAACAGATTCATCTATATCCTACATCAATGGTTCCAGAAATATTGTGGAAGAGGGGTCAGAAAGACAATGAGAGACAGAAGACCAGGAAGTGTGCTATGAAACAGTCTCTCCTAGAAATGGCTGCATAAACCAGAAAAGAACAATGAATATGTTGATATGAATGTGGGAAGGTTTGAAAGAGTCTCACCTCTAGAAACAGAATTAGTCTCTATTAGCAATGAGCTCCCCAAAGAATCACTAATACAAAGTGGTCATCCCTTGAGATGGCTATTCTTGGCTGTTAATTCGACTACATCTAGAATTAACTTAAAACAAGAGGCTGTGATTTTTCTTGTTAGCGATTTTTCTTGATTGAATCATTTAAAGCAGGAAGACCCACCAAAACCTGGATCTTCTGGAGTGTTCAGATCACCTTACATCCTGCTCACATGGTCTACTGGTATGCTATATACAAAGGACCTGTAAGATGGAAAAGTAGGACAAAGTGGTCCAGTTTTCTTTCACCTAGAAACATATTAGAAATAAGAAAATCCCACAGCATGGAGGTGCAAAGCGATCTACAGCACTTGATTGAGATTCAGAAGGTTCTTCAATATTTCATATCTAGAACATTTCTCCACAGTCTTCTGTCTGGTTACTGTGATCTCCAGAAGCTGGGGAGCAAGGTGTCTTCCTTCTCTATTGTCAACTACAAACAGTTGAAAATGAAATAGAATGAGATTAATGATTTTTTTTTAAGACAGAAAGTTGAGTGAGTAGGAAAAAGGGATAGATCTGGAAGGAACTGCAGTTCAGATGTTTATGCTCAAAACTAGTTGTACAAAATACTTCTAAAAACTAAAAGGAAACACAGATGCAAGCATAATGAACAGAATGCAAGAGATGAAAGAGAGGATCTCTGGTGTAGAGGATACAATAGAGGAAATGGATTCGTCAGTCAAAGAAAATACCAAAGCCAAAAAAGTCATAACACAAAATGTCTAAGAACTCTGGGACACAACGAAAAGACCAAACCTAAGAATAATAGGGATAGAAGAAGAAGAAGAATACCAACTGAAAGGCACAGAAAATACATTCAACATGATCATAGAAGAAAACTTTCCCAACTTAAAGAAGGAAATACCTATGAAGATACAAGAAGCCTATAGAACACCGAACAGACTAGACCCTGTAGCAGGAATCTTAGAGAGACTTATTAATAAAATCAAACCCAGGGACAGTTATTGGGGTGAAATCCTGGATGGTCAGAGAGACAGAACAAGCCACAGCTAACCTCACCTGGCCAACTTCTCAGCTGATCTTGTTTCCTCAGACTGGAAGCCTCTGTGTCCTCATATCCAAATGGCTGTCAGCTGAACTGTGCTGCTAGAAGCCTGAAAGCTTAACCAGGCAAATGCTTCTAGTTTCTGGTCCTCACACCTTACATACCTTTCTGCTTTCTACCACCACTCCCTGGGATTAAAGGCTCCTTTCTGGGATTAAAGGCATGTGTCACCATGCCTGGCCATTTCCATTGTGGCCTTGAACTCACAGAGATCCAGAGGGATTTCTGCATCTGGAGTGCTAGGATTAAATGTGTGAGTGCCACCATTTTCTAGCCTTTGTATCTAGTGACTGTTCTGTCTCTGAACCCACCTCGGTTTCAAAGATAGACATTACCTGGCAGAGTATAAGGATGGGAAAAGTCTTTGTAATCAAATGGTTTTAAGAAGGAAGGTGGCAGGATCGCTTAGCTCGGCCTGGGAGGAGGGGACTGGACCTACCTGGACTGAGTCTACCAGGTTGATCTCAGTCCTCGGGGGAGGCTTTGCCCTGGAGGAGGTGGGA